AACAAAATTAAACCTGCCAACATATTATTCTTGCCCATCAGGTGTCTGAACACCTGGAAAGAACTGAGCATTGAACATTGACTGCTGAAACCTCTGCTTGGAAGGGCCGGCGTTTCACCTTTCATTCCTGGCTTGTGTTAACCAGGAATCCGTGCCGGTGGTCTTGGATGGATCGTATCTGCTGGGAAAACGGGCGAATAGGTTTTCCTTTTTTTAAAGCACCCTCGGCTGTTGAAAATGGCACCTAACTAAAAGCATGAAAGTCTTTGCAGTGTGCTCCAGCCACTAACAAGCCACCATCTGGTAATGACCTCAGATCCGGGCGAGACCAAGTGAGGTTCTCGCTTCTGCAGGCCGAGCTGGAAGTCTCGGGATCCTTTTTTTCTCCATCTCTGGAGCGGAGCCGTTTCCCCACTTAGCAGCGCTCAGCCGCCTGTTCAGGCTGTCTTAAGGTCTGTCCAGGATGGTTTCCGGTGGCTCAGGATGCGGGCTGGAATGCCGCTGCCGCCCTGGGCGAAGATACACAGCAACCCTTTGGCTAGACGGTCACCAGCATTTCTGGCTTGTCAGCTGCACAAGGGGGGCGGGGGGGAGCCTGGTTGCCCTGGAATGTGATAGCAGTTGCCAGAGAGAGGGCAAATTCAAACACCGGGTGGTTTGAGGCTGTGCGATCCACAACGAATCCGAATCTCTCGACCAGCCTTTCTCGGTCTTTCAATTTTAATATTTGTGGATTTCAGCTCTTGGAATTCCCCAGCCAGGATTCCTTCCTTCCTTCCTTCCTTCCTTCCTTCCTTCCTTCCTTCCTTCCTTCCTTCCTTCCTTCCTTCCTTCCTTCCTTCCTTCCTTCCTTCCCTCCCATCTCCATATCCTTCCTTCCTTCCTTCTTTCCTTTCCTCCCTCCCTCCCACCTCCATATTCTTCCTTCCTTCCTTCCTTCCTTCCTTCCTTCCTTCCTTCCTTCCTTCCTTCCTTCCTTCCTTCCATCTCCATATTCTTCCTTCCTTCCTTTCTTCCTTTCCTCCCTCCCTTCCTCCCTCCCATCTCCATATCCTTCCTTCCTTCCTTCCTTCCTTCCTTCCTTCCTTCCTTCCTTCCTTCCTTCCTTCCTTCCTTCCTTCCTTCCTTCCTTCCTTCCTTCCTTCCTTCCTTCCTTCCTTCCTTCCTCCCATCTCCACATCCTACCTTCCTTCGTTCCTCCCATCTCCATATCCTTCCTTCCTTTCTCTCTTTCTCTCTCTCCCCCTCCCTCCCTCCCTTTCTTCCTTCTCTCCTTCCCTTTTTTCTCCCTCCCTCGTTCTTTCCTTCCTTCCCTTCTCTTTCTCCTTCCTTGCTTCCTTCCCCCCTCTCTCCTGCCATACCATCTACACATTTACACATAAGCCTACAACATACACACATATAAACACGCAGATACTCCGTGTGTGTGTGTGTGTGTGTGTGTGTGTGTGTGTGTGTGTGTGTATGTTTGCTTGCTTGGGGTTTCTTTTTCTTTTTAAATTGCCCCACAGAAATGCCCTAAAAGTGGAGCAACGTTGGAAAGAGGTAGCTGGGAATTTTTGGAGAAGAGAGAGGTGTAAGGTTGTGTGGCGCATGTGTCTGTGTCCTCAAACCAGCAAGCGCAGCAAGGAAGCCTGAAAAGGGAGCCTAAAGAAGAGGGACACACACACACACACACACACACACAAGCACACAGACACCGTTTCTAATTTTCCTGGGCAGAGGCACCTCCCAACAGTCCTGGTATCAGCCCAACCTTTTGTCCAAGACTTCCCGCAGAATGGGCATAAAGTTGGGGTGAAAATTACAAAAGGGGGGGGCAGTTTCCCCTTCCTGCTCCTTTGCTGAAAGGCTGCCTGGAACGAAGCAACTCTTGAGCTAAGCAGGAGGTCGGGCCAGGCGAGCTGGAAGGGACCTTGGAGGTCATCTAGTCCAACCCCCTGCTCAAGCAGGAGACCTTAGGCCACCCACGACCAATGGCTGTGCAGGCTCTTCTGGAGAACCTCCGGGGATGGAGCATCCCCCGCTTCTGATCTCCGAGGCTACTTCTCGGTGGGTGTGGGATTCTGGGCCCGCCGGGTGAGTGAAGAGACCCTCTCCTCACCCGCCAGCCTCGGGAAGGACGGGGCTTGGGGCCGGGGGGGGGGGGGAGGAGGCGGAGAAGGTGCTCGGAGAAGGACTCTGGCCGTGGAGCTTTTCTCCATCTTCGCTTCCAGCCTGCTTGGAAAAAAGGAGCAGGTCGGACTCCCTTCGAGGTCACGGGCCGGTGGTCAGGGGCGGTCTTTGTAGTCCAGCGGGCTAACTAAGGCACGTCATCGGTTGAGGTCAAAAAAGTCAAGATGGCGGCCTAAAAGTCCTCTATAGGATAGCGCTGTCCAGCTCCAGGCAAGGCTCCTGGTCTTGCCCGGCCAGGCGCTGGATCCCCGCGGGGGCAGTTGCGCTCCGGGCGTCCCCTGCCTCGCTTCTCCCCCGCTCCCTCCACCAGCCATCCTGACGTTTCCAGCCTTCGACTAAAAGCTGCAATTTCTCTGTCAACGTTTATAACTCGCTCGCTTTGCCACCGTCAGCGGTGGCAGCAGCCAGAGGTTGTCAGAATCGCTCCGCGGAGGAAGCCAACGAGAGAAAGGGGCGAATCGAGTTGGAAAAGCGCAGCTTTTAGTTGAGGCCGGACGGAGGGCCCTTCCCTTTCCCCCCTCCCCCCATGGTTCCGAGGGTCCCGGGTCTGCCTAAAGCTGCCTTCCCCTGCAACGGCGCCCTGCCGCCTCGCGTGAGGTTCAACCCGGGCGCAAAAAGGCTGCCGCGCCGTGGCTCTCTTCCCACGACCCGCCAACTCGGGTTTCTCCTTTCACCCGCTCCCGGCTTCGCGGACCGTCCCCGAACCGCAAAATCTGGGTTCGCCCGACGCCTCGAGGCAGAAAAAGTCCAGCCTGCTGCTTTTTGAACCTTGGCTCGGCTGTGTGTGTGTGTGAGCGCAGCGTATCATCGGAACGCCCGCCTGTGGGTTAAAGGAACGTGATAAGCATATCGTGCGAACACCCTCCCCGTGGCCGCGGGCCAGTTCCCGCTTTCTGCCGGCCACGGGTTTCTGGCGGCTGGCAAAAATTCGCCTTTCTGTCCCCGAGTCCGGCGGAGGGAGCTCTTTCGGGGTCTCCCGGTGGACGCGGCCCCTTCAGAGCAGGGCGGGGGGGCGCGGGGGCGGCCCACCCCAAAACCTGCGCTCAGCTCCAGGGGCGCGGACAGCGAGAGGCGAGCAAGGTCTGGGAAAATAATAATATAATAATAAATATAAATAGTAATATTAATATTAATAATATTAATATTAACAATATTAATAGTATTAATAATAATAATAATAATATTAATAATATCAATAGTATTAATAATATTAATAATAATATTAGTACTACTACTACTACTAGTAGTAGTAGTAGTAGTAGTAGCAGCACTATTAGTGGTACTACTACTAGTAGTAGTAGTAGCAGCAGCTTTCTCATTTCAAAGACTGAGCTTGAAGGAATACATGCCCACCCGCATCTTCTAATTCCTTGTAATTTACCCCGGCCGAGGGGAACGAGTTTGGGGGATCGGAAGGTTTTAGTAGGGGAATAAAAATCTCCGGAGGGAACGATCCGTTTTGAAGAGGGGAAGGCAATCGGGATGGGGAGTCGGATCATACCGTTGAGGTCCAGGGGAGAAAAAGATGGAGACCTGTTTAAATAAGAGCCCCCCCCCATTCCCCTGATAAGGCGCGGTGGGCTTTGTGAGCTAATGGGAAACCGCTGTAATTGGGTGGGAGACGGAGGACCCCCGAAAGCGCAGCGGCTCTTGCTTAAAAATGGCCCTGCGCGCTCCCTCTTTCGCCACAGGAGCAGAAACAGCCGCCCTTCTAGCGAAGACGCGTGTCTAAGGATGCGGCCCTCGAGAGCCCTCCCCACCGCAAGGCCTCGCTCCTGGCCCGGGTGAGCCGCCGGCCCCGCTGCTTCGCCGCCGCAGCCCAAGACGGCCTCGGAGGCGGCCAGAACCGCCGACGGTTGCTCTGCCGGTTCGCCGTTCCGCAAAGGGCTCGCGAACGCTTTGGGCTCAGTCCTTCCGTCCTCCTTTATTCCCAATCTATAAAGTTGTTCTTATTTTTTTAAACATCTCTTTATATATATATACAACAGCCAGAAATGTACAGAGAGGCGCGAGAAAGGTTTCAAAAGAGTTCCTCCGGCTTTGACTTTTTTTTTTTGAAAACGGGTTTGCGAGGCAGAAAATCCCTTTTCCTGTCCCCTCCACTCCGGTCGCTTCTTCGGGCTGAAAACGGAAGTCAGGAGAGAGAGAAGGAAGGAAAGGAAGGAAGGAAGGAAGGAAGGAAGGAAGGAAGGAAGGAAGGAAGGAAGGAAGGAAGCAAGGAAGCAAGGAAGGAAGGAAGGAAAGGAAGGAAAGGAAGGAAGGAAGGAGGGAGGGAGGGAGGGAAGAGAGAAGGAAGGAAGGAAGGGAGGGAGGGAGAGAGGGAAGGAGAGAGGGAAGGAGGGAGGGAAGGAAGGAAGGAAGGAATGAAGGAGGGAGGAGGGAAGGAGAGAGGGAAGGAGGGAGGGAAGGGAGGGAGGGAGGGAGGGAGGGAAGGCAGGAGGGAAGGCAGGAAGGAAGGAAGGAAGGAAAGGAAGGAAGGAAGGAGGGAGGGAGGGCGGGCGGGCAGGCAGACAGGAAGGAAGGAAGGAAGGAAGGAAGGAAGGGGAAACGCTGGGGGTTACTCGACGCCCCAGCGAAGGGGCGATTGTCCTTCCAGTCCCGAGTCTCCCGGAGGGGGCAACGATGGAGAAGGAGAACCGGAGAAGTGCAGAGTCTATTTACAAGGGAGGGGGGGCTTTGCTTCCCTGCCCCCCCCCGGGCGTCGCGGCTCCCCGTTAGAAGCCGGTCCGGGAAGCTCGACGGCGCTGGAGCGTTTCGCAGCGGCGCGGCGGGCCAAGCCCTCGACGGCCGACGGCTGCTCCCTCCCTGCAGTCCGGCGGCCGCCTTCAGAGGTGCGGCGTGTAGAAGGCGGGCGCGCCGTAGGTCTGCGAGCCCAGCACGAAGGGCGAGAGCACGGCGGCCGGGCCGGGCAGGAAGGGCAGCTGGGCGGCGCAGACCAGCCCGCCGGCCGAGTGGCCGGCGTAGGCGCCCGGCGGGCCGTGCATGGCCAGGCCGTGGCTGACCATGGGCGGCGAGTGGCTGAGCGGGCTGAGCGCCCCGGACAGGCCGCCCGGGCCCCCGCCGGCCCCCACCCCGCCGCCCCCGCCGCCCCCGCCGCCGCCCCCGCCCGTCGGGGCGCTGGTGTCGGCGCCGGGGTTCTGCTTCTTCCACTTGGTGCGCCGGTTCTGGAACCAAATCTTGACCTGCGTCTCGGTGAGGCTGAGCGAGAGGGCCAGGTTGAGGCGCTCGCAGACCGACAGGTACCGGGTGGCCTTGAACTTGTTCTCCAGCGCCACCAGCTGCTCGTAGGTGAAGGCTGTCCGCGCCCGCCGGGGCTTGCCGGACTTGGAGTCCGAGCCGGGGCGCTTCCGCTTGGTTTTGCCCCCAGCCGACGGCGGGGTGGCGGCCTGGCCCTGGGGCGGCGACGGCTGCGGCTGGGGCCGTTGCGGGAGGCCCGGAGCGGCTCCGGCCTGCTGCCGCGGCGGGCTCTGCCCTTCCTCCGCGCGGAGCCCCCGAGCCGCCTCGACGGCGCTGCTGCCGCTGCCGACGCTGTTGCAACTCTCCTCGCTGCCCAGCTCCTCGTCCTCCTCTTCCTCCTCCTCTTCCTCCTCTTCTTCCTCCTCCTCTTCCTCCTCCGGTGCCTCGCTTTCCGGCCGGGGGCTCTCCCGGCGCACCGACTCCAGCCCCGCCTGGTCGCTGGGGAACAGCTCGCCGGCCTCTACGCGGAAAGGAGAGAGAGAGAAAGGTAGTCTGCGGGCCCGGAGCCACGCGCAGCCCTGCCGGAGGGGAGCGGGTGAAGAACCGGGGCGGGACCCCAACCCAAGCTTGGTATGTCCAGGGACGTGTTTCGCCCTCCTCTCTTAGTACAGCGGGGCTTCGGCTGGAAGAAGCTTCAGGACCACGGACAGCGGCGTCTCCGTAGACATGCCAGCCCCCCCCCCTCCCAAGCAGCCCAAAGAAGACGCAGCGATCTGGTGGGCCTCTAGTAAGAGAGGCGGGGTCCCTACTGGCTGCCCTAAAAGACCCCCACGGGAGCCCCCCAGGCCCTGCGACCCTCTCTGGTTCCAGTCTGGTCTGCTTGGCGGAGCGAAGGTCGGGGACTTCCTTAATAAAGGGGCGAAAGGCCTACAAGGTCCTGAGAATGGTGAGCCGGGAACCCCGGTACTCGGCAGGCCTCCTGCGGCAAGCGGGGTCAAAGGCGCCCGGCAGGGAAAGGAAGGAAGCTGGCCTCGCGTTCTTTTCCTCTCCCTTCGGAGCCTCTGGGCCTTGCAACACGGGACCATCCTGGTCGGGAAGGCGGCGTGGAAGCCTGTGCTAGCTGGTTTCTCTGAAGTCCAGGCTTTTGGGAAGGAAGGAAGGAAGGAAGGAAGGAAGGAAGGAAGGAAGGAAGGAAGGAAGGAAGGAAGGAAGGAAGGAAGGAAGGAAGGGAAGGGAAAGGAAAGGAAAGAGGGAGGGAAGGAGGGAAGGAACATGGACTGACAGAAGAAGGAAAGAAGGGAGGGAGGGAAGAAGGGAGAAGATGGATTGATGGAAGCAAGTAGGAAGGAAGGAAAGGAAGGAACGAAACGAAGGAGGGAAGGAGGGAAGGGAGAGAGGAAGGAAGAAAGGAAGATGGATTGATGGAAAAAGAAAAGAAGGGAGGGAGAGAGGTAAGAAGATGGATTGATGGAAGCAAGTAGGAAGGAAGGAAGGAAACGAAGGACGGAGGGAAGGAGGGAAGGGAGAGAGGAAGGAAGGAAGGAAGATGGAATGATGGAAGAAGGAAAGAAGAGAGGGTGAGGGAGGGAGGGATGGAAGAAGGGAGGAAGGAAAGAAGATGGATTGATGGAAGAAGGAAGGAAGGAAGGAAGGAAGGAAGGAAGGAAGGAAGGAAGGAAGGAAGGAAGCGCTTCTCTCGGCCATCGGAACCCCCCACGCCACTTTCCTCCTCTGGGCCTCGAGCAAGGCTTCTGGGCCAACCACCGAGCCCGGGATCCGCTCTCCCTGCCCAGCCTTTCCGAAGGCCGCCGGGGCTGCCGGCGCTTGGTCGTGATCCGCGGAAGGCCAGAAGCCTCCAAGCGGCTCCTTCTCCCGCTCGCTCGCCCGCCCGCCCTTTCCAGCCTCCGCAGCCGCAGCGCAGCCACGGGGCACCCCTTGCCTGGACCCCGGATTGGACCCGGTGGGGGAGCGAGGGAAGGGCGCCGTTTCCTGGAGAAGGGCGCCCTTGCCCGGGGAGCCGCGCAGCCTTCCCCTCCGGTGCTTGGCGGAGCTCCGGACGCCCCCCGCCCCGGAGCGGCTCCGAAACCAGCCCGGCTCCACCTCGGGGTTCCGGGGTTCCGGGCTTGGGCGAAGGCGGGAGCTTCCAAAGGCGCCCAGACTTGCACGAGGATCGGTTGTAACTTTCACGCGCCTGCAGCCTCTGGAAGCGGAGCCGATACCCAGACGGTCGGGCCCAAATCCAAGCGACGTTGCTCGAGAATCCAAATGAGAGCGACTTCCGAGCAACACCCCCCCCCCCAATTTCCAACTCTGGGCAAGGGGGGCGGGTGGCATTTCCCCCCCCTCCAAAAAAGGGGGGGTTCAACCCGAAGGAAAGGCAATCCCGGCTCCTTTCTGGCCTGCCCCGAATTGCTGGCTGTGACTTGAATAAAGGCAGAAGCGACCCTGCACGCACCAGGCGGACCCCAGCGGGGGCCTTAAGCGTGCCCCCTCCCCACCGCTTGGGTCCAACCCGAAGGACCCTGGAGGGGCGTCCCGGGCCAGGAGCGGGAGGAACGGACGGGGGAAAAAAGAGCCGGGGGGGGGGTTTAAGGGCGGCGCGTCCACCTTTCCCCGGGCCCGATTCTCCACGCCGGGCTGGCTTAGAGCCGAGTCTGAACCGGGCCGTTCCGTGCTCCAGACTCCAGGCCAAGGCCTCGCCCCCCCCCCCGGCCACCGAAGTCTCTCTAGGTCCCTCTGCCCCGGGCGCCCCTTCAAAGTCGGGGAAGGGCGCGTTTTCGGAGGAGGAGGAGGAGGAGGAGGAGAAGAGGAGGAGGAGGAGATGGAGAAGGAGGAGAAAGAGAAAGAGAAGGAGAAGGAGAAGGAGAAGAAAGAGAAAAAGAAAGAGAAAGAGAAGGAGAAGAAGGAGGAGAAAGAGAAAGAGAAAGAGAAGGAGGAGAAGGAGAAGAAAGAGAAAGAGAAAGAGAAAGAGAAGGAGAAGAAAAAGAAAGAGAAAGAGAAAGAGAAGGAGAAGGAGAAGAAAGAGAAAGAAAAGGAGAAGGAGAAGGAGAAGAAAGTAAAAGAGAAAGAGAAGGAGAAGAAGAAAAAGAGAAAGAGAAAGAGAAGGAGAAGAAGAAAAAGAGAAAGAGAAGGAGGAGGAGAAGAAAGAGAAAGAGAAAGAGAAGGAGGAGGAGGAGGAGGAGGAGGAGGAGAAGGAGGAGGAGAGAACTCAACCGGGCGTTGTGCGTGCAAACCAGGGCCAAGCAGGGTCCGGGCGAGGCGGGACGGGGATCCGGACTCGCTTGATGCTGGGAACTTCGGGTTCGGAAAGCCCCTTCTCCCGCGGGGAGCCGGGCTCTCTTCGGGGTGCAGAAGGCGAGGGGGGGGGTGGGGGTGGCTGGGAAGGGACGGCTGGAAGAGCGGGGCGCGCAAGCGAAGCAATCTGGCCACCGGGTCGAACGCCCCACCGGGTCGATAGACAGCCCTAATAAGTGCAAGAGGTTTTAATCGAGTAATTATCCGAATTTGGGCCCTATAATTTAGATGTTAGGCCGGCGTCGGCCAGGTGGTTGAAAGAGATATGCACGGTTCGATAATAGGATATCGATCCGCGCGGCTCGACAGGCCACTCTGGGGGCGATTTCCCTCCATTACGCGGCCTCTTTACGCGGCTAAGCACATTTCGCTTTCAATGTAATCGAAGGAATTTAATTGTTTTTCCAGAGATAAACCGGCGTTTTGTCACAATTAGTCTGATTTGTCCTTAAAAAAAAAGGGAAAAAAAGCGAAAGGTGGGGCGGGAGAGAAAATTGAATCTGTCGCCCGAAGCAAAAGGCCTTAGCGGGGAAGGCGAGGGAGGCGGTGTATTTGTGTGTGTGTGTGTGTGTGTGTGTTTGTATGTGTGTATTTGTGTGTGTGTTTGTGTGTATTTGTGTGTGTTTGTGTGTGTTTGTGTGTGTTTGTGTGTATTTGTGTGTGTGTGTGTGAAGAACCAAGAAAGCAAAACCCGTTCCCCAACCCCAACTAAATGGGAGCAAAGAAAGGGCTGGCCTGAAAGCGGGCGAGCAGAGGATGGGAGACACGCACGTGTGAAAGCGACAGGGGGCCACGCAAGACGGTCGGACTGGGAAGCTTCTGACAGCGGCCCAGCCGTCCGGAGGCCGCCGGGCGAGCTGCGTCCGAGGCCGGGCGATCCGGCTTGGCCATTCCCCAAATCGGATAGCCTGGGCCGGCGTTGCGACCGGTCTGACCGCGGCTTCCCTTCCCTTCTTGCCCTAGCGCTCTGGGAGCAGCGCCCGGTTCGGCCGCCCGGGCACCCAGCGCGGATGCCTTGGGCCGAGCTCCTCCCCGCCTGGCGCACCGGCTCCCCTGCAGAACAGCCCAAAATCCTCCCCCCGGGGGGGGAGGGGGGGTCCTCTTTGCAACCGGCGCGCAGCGGGAACCTCTGACGCGGCGCAAACTTTCCACAACTCTCTCTCCAAAAAAAAAGCCCTCGCTGCTCGACCTCGGCCTGGCGCAGGATTCGGCCTCCGTGCCGCTCTCCGCCTCCACAACGCCAGGACTTTCCGGACCCCGGGCTGGCTCTGGCAAGTGGGGAGGGGGGGAGTCCCGGAGCGGCGGGTCCGGAAAGGACCCGACGCTGCTCTGCCCCAGGGTTCCCGCGCCCACCCCCCCCAAAAAAAGATTCCCCGCGGGAGAGGGACTCACTGCGCCCGTCGAGCGGGGGCTTCCTCCGGCCCGCCGTCTGGAAGTCGTCGGCCCCGGCCTTGGGCTCGGCGCCCGCCGCCTCCGGCTTCTCCTCGTCTCCCAGCGCGAAGTCGGCGCCGGCCGCCGCGGCTTTGTAGAGCAGGGCGCACTGCCGTCGGCCTTTGCTGTTGAACTTGTTGGGGTCCAGGATGTCCAGGACGGAGAAGGAGGTGGTCCGGTGCCCCGGGCCCCCCCCCGCGGCGGCCGCCCCCTCCGGCCCGGGCAGAGTGTTGCTGCCGTTCTCGCTGCCCGGCCTGTCCCGGCTCACGGCGCACGAGTAGAGCCCGGGGGGCAGGTCGCTGGCGGGCGCCAGGCGCTGCTCCGCCTGGCTCTCCATGCCGTCGTCCCGCCGGCAGCTGCCGGAGCGCTCTTCTCCCAGGAGGCGCTCCGCAGGGCTGCCCGCCGCCGCCGCCGCCGCTGCCGGAATATAGACGTCACCCAGCTGAGCCTGGCCGCGGCTCGCGTTCATGACACTGCGAGGGGCAGCCCCCCGCCTGCTCCCCCTTCCTTCCTTCCTTCCTTCCTTCCTTCCTTCCTTCCTTCCTTCCTTCCTTCCTTCCTTCCTTCCTTCCTTCCTTCCTTCCTTCCTTCCTTCTGTGGAGGAGCAACTTGACAGAGAAAGCGAGGCGCGAGGCGGGGCGAGGAACCGTCTCTTCAAAGGGTCCGCCGCATCTCCTCCTCCTCCTCCTCCTCCTCCTCCTCTTCCTCCTGGGACGACCTGGACGTTTATTCCCCCATCTTTGCCTGGGACTGCGGCTTATTTAGGCATTCGGATTTAGCGCTGGGTGGTAATTGGCTACAAATTAATTCCTTGCCCATAATGGTCCGCAGACTCCGTCCCGGAGGAGACCCCCAGGAACTCGGAGGTGCTGGAGGGGTGGGTGGGTGGATTGAGCGAGCGGCGGGGGCGGCGGAGGGCGTGAAGGATGGCCAGGCTCCTGGAGATATACTTAGCTGTCAGCTCTGTTTCAGCGCCCCTCCACTCAGCTGGAAAGCATCTAAATAGCCTTATTTGGCGCGGTGGGCGGAGGGGGAGGCGCCGGCTTTGAAATAATGGAGGGATCCAGAGCAACGCCGCGATTAGGCGCCTCCGTCCCCCGGGGACGCGCGTCGTTAGCTCGAGCGACGCCTTTCCAGCCAGCGGCGTCATTCCTGGGGCCAAACGGCTCTGGCCGGCTGGACTTTTAAGATCGCCCTCCCCGGAATAAACGTCCGTTCCCACGACCAAGGACACCCGCGTTAGGAAACACGGGAGAGCGTCGGGCCTTTCGCGCAAGGCCAGGAATGACGCGCGTCGGCCTTCGGGTCGAGCGGAGTTAGACCCAGGTGGTTATAAGCGTCAAATCTGGGTTGACCACAGAAACGGTCCTTTTTTTGTCTCTCTCTCTCTATCGGAATTCGAATCAGAAAAAGAAAAGCGGGTTTAAGGAAGAGTCGGGTCGCCACCGAATCGTGCAGCTCCAGATTTACCCGCATCCAGATTAGGGGAGAGGGCAAAACGCAAGCCCACCTCCCCCATGTCGGATAGGAAACTCCCGGGAACCCGAGAGAGGGGCAGCCCCCCCTCCCCACTCCCGCCTCGCGATTCTGTGCCTTTCCCGGCTTCTCTACTCCGGATCTCTGCTACTCCGCTTGATCTGGAGGCCCGGGAGCAGCGCAGGAATAGACCAAAATTGGAGCTATTTCCCCCTCCTCCAGGTTTTTCTTTTTTTGCCGCGGCGGGTGACACATACAAGGGCAGGCCCGTTTGTAGTCACGCCGAGCAATGAGCCTTTGGAAGGCAGGCATTAAAACTTGGAAGGCCTAATGGGCGAAGCCATTTTGGTCCGGCCGGGCCGTGATTAGCCCATCAGCTGAGCCAGCCCGAGGGAGACCCTGCAGGGAGACGGGCAGCGGGCAGGTGGGCCGGGGTCCCCCCGAGGGTCAGGCACAGGAGCCGGCGCGGCCGTGGTTTCCTCGGAAAGGCGAGCAGGAAGGAACTGTCAACTACCGGGGCCCAGAGCCCCCCCCCGGGACAGGCGAAGGGGAGACCCCCAGAAGGGCGCTGAGATTGGGGGGGCCCTCAGCTGCAAACCCCCCCCCCCCGCTCAGGCTGCTGCTGCTGCTGCGGCAGTCCTCGCCTGGCGCCTAACCACAATTGATTGCCAATTAGGGCTTCATTTGCGCAACCGTCCCCCATTCGCCAGCTCCGCTTCTCTGTCCCCGGGAAAGTTGGGGCTGGCTCCCCAAGACTCGAGGAGCGCTGGCAGGCGAGAGGAGGCCCGGCCGGAAGCGCCAAGACACCCCCTTGCTGCGTTTCTGCAGCGGTGGCGGTGGTGGGGGGCTCCCAATGCGGATCGAGACTTAACTGGACCAGACCTCCAGATCTCTGAGCGGGAGGCCTTGGCGCTTTCCCGGCTGTGCGAGAGGGCAGCTCCGCAGCCCACAGGGATGGGATGGGGTGGGGGGGGGAAGGCGGAGGCAGCCTGGGGGTCCCGGTCGAGCGGCCAGGCTAAAAGCATCCGTGGTGGCCTTTCCCGGCAGTCCTTCGCGGGCAGAGGGGCGAGCTGGATGGAGAAAAGGCGGCGAGGGGCTCCTTCTGCTGCTTCGGTTGCCGCCCCCCGCCTTCTCTCTCTCTACCCGTGGCCTTCTTCTCTCCCCCCCCCCCGGCTCGGCTCGAGTTGGAGCCCCAAACTTCCTTTTTAATTAGATCTTCCCAAGTCCAGCCAACAAATGAACGTGCTCCTCTCCGCCATTCATCACGGGCCCTGCCGCGGCGCAGGCAGATCTCAGGGTAATTAAGGACATTTATCGTGGTGGTAAAACAGTTTAGCAGCCCTTGTTATATGGGGAAGGTCACTTTGATGGATTTACGTGGGGCGAGCGGGCGGGGGGGCGGTGAATTGGGCGAGGAGGGGGATTCTCCCCCGCCCGCCCGCCCCAGCCCAGCGCATTGATCAGAGACGCGCGCCGAGAGCACGGAAAGGTCACCGCGGGAGACGGTCTCGGGCGGGGAGGGGGCCCCAGGAAATCCGTTTCTATCTTCCGATCCATCGCCCACCTGGGGAGGGGGGAGGGGGGAAAGGGCTAGGAGACTCCCCACTTCCTTAAAATCACCCCGGCCTTTCTGTATCTTGTGTAGGCGCGCACAAATCCGCGCGTAAACACGTGTGTGTGCATAATAATATATATATTGGTGGGTAAATGTTGCCAGCTCTTCGCTCTCGCCACGTGGATAAGATTCGGTCCCCGTCGTTGGGTCTCCGTCCTAGGAGCGGGCGTGGGCTTCGGAGCAGGGGGTTGCTTTCGATAGTTTAGGGTGCTCCCCCCCCGTTTGGGTCGGCACAAAGCAACTCGCTTGGGGATACGCACCCCTCTTCTCTTGCAGCCGTGCGGGCGCGTTTGAAGAGCAGAAACGAAAAAGAAGGAAATATCTCTGCAAAACCGCTTCCACGCCACTCGTGAATCTTTCCCTCGAAAAACCTCCGGACAGGGGAAAGGACGGTCGGGAGTGCCCGGAGGGAGAAGCCAAATGGGGTCCCTGCCGGGGTCTTCCACGGCCCACTGGATCTGGGCTCCGTTGCCCGGGTCGTGGCGCTTCAGGAGGAGGGGAGCGAGAGAAAGCCTCCGCTTTGCCTCGCCCCGTTTCCAATCCCTCCAGAAATAGGTCGTTTTTCTGTGCACGGAAGTCCGGACAGGGAATCCGGACAGGCAAGGCGCCCGGTTGCTTCCTTTCGCCTCGGCCGCTCTCTGTTCCCGCCACCGAGTCACGTCGGGGCGTCTCCGCGGTGGCTTGACGGTCCCAGCTGGAAATGTTTCGCCGTCCAACCCAATTCTCTTACCCCCCCACCCCCCCACTCCAGTTTGCCTTCCAGCCTCAGCGTAACCGCCGCCTCCTCCTCCCCCCCCCCGCAGCTGGAGGAGTCGCCCTTGCTTTCTCTTCCACGGGGATCCCCCTCCCCCGGTAAGGACCATTCGCCTGGGAAAGTTTTGCTAGACAGGGCCCTGTCGAGGCCTGTTGCCCTTCGGATTTCTGGCTAGTTTCGTGTTCGGGAGGCGGGGCGGGCGGGGCGACCCCCGGGGCGACCCCCAACGCCTCCAGCCACGTGCTGGGACTCAGCGCTGCCCCGCCGCCCCGCCCCGCGCCCCGCCTTCTTTGGGTCTTTCTTTGGACGAGACCCCTTTGGGCCAAGGGAGTCCCGACACCCGGATTGGGCTCGTGTCCAGGCCCGCGGGTGGGCGTCGAAGCTTCCGACTCCCCGATTCTGCATTCTGCGCTTCGATTCTGTTCCTGGGAACTTCGTTCCCACGTGACAGAGCAGAGCAGAGGCAGCGGATGAAGTCCGGGTCCCCTTCAATTCGGATCCTCTCCCTCCTTCCGAACCCTGTATTGGAGAGATCCAGCTTCACCGGGTGGTGGTGGTGGTGGGGGGGTCGACTGCCCCTCTGAGAATGTCCCCCAAAGTCTCCCTTCGGAGCGAAATTCAAAGGAGCAAAACTGGGCCCAGCACTGCCTCGCCGGAGTAGGCGGTGTGGCTGGAGAGGTCCCGCCACTGGCCCCGGGGCCTGGGTGGCTGCAGCTTCCCACAGGCGGGCAGGAAGGCAGGCAGGCAGGCGCGGGCTTGGAAGGCCGGGGCTTGCCCGGGTGGGCTGCACTGTCAGGAGCGTAATTGAGGTTAATGCTTCCTGCGCCTCTGCGGGATTATTAAATTAATACGATCACACCACGAATCCTAATTAGAAGTTTAAAGAACGCTCCGGGAAAACGTCGGATCGACGGTAGCACGCCTCCTCCTTCTCTCGCCCTCCTTCGGCGGTCGGGCAGGAGCGAGGAGGAGGAGGAGGAGGAGGGGGGGGTCCCGGGGGTCCCGCCCCAGCGCCGTCACATCCGGAGTACCCACATCCCGTGCCAGAATCCTCGCCACCCGCGGCGTGGACGCAGCGACCGCTCGGAGGTCTCCAGCGAGAAGAGGGACCCTCCGCCAGAGGATCGCGCGATCCCTGATGGATCTCTTGGGGGGGGGGCTGGAGGGGGGAGGGTGGTTCCCCGTTTTCTGTCAAGGCGGCCTCGACGGCGCAGCCCTCCCGGCCCCTCTCCCTGCTAATCCACAGCCACGCCTCGGTCGGAGTGGAGTGGAGTGGGGTGGGGGAGTGGGTGGGTGGGCGGGAGGGGAACCGGGCCAGGCTCGGCTCCGTTCCGGTGGGGCGACTGTAGCGACCGGGCCAGGGGGACAGCAGGCAGCGCTTTGCGCTCCACGCGCGGCGGGGCCGGGCTGAGCCTCCGGCTGAGGCGGCGGCTGCTTTCTGCGCCCCCCCCCCCGGCCTTTTGTCCACCCGCGCCCCCCCCCCCCGCCGCCGGCTCTCTCTTTCCCCCTGGCTCGCTGGCTGCTGCTGCCGCGACATATTGAAGGGGTGGGGGAGGCAAGGAAACGTTAAGATCAACCTCGGAGCTTTGGCGAGGCTTTAACGATTTCAAATGAGGTCTGACTC